AGACATCCATTTTCTCACAGTTCTGGAGGCTGGGAGTCCAAGATCAAGGTGCTGGCCAATTTGGTTTCTGGTGGGGCTCTCTTCCTGGCTTATGGAAGGCCACCTTCTCCTTGTACCCTCACTTGGCCTTTCCTCGGGGCACGTGTGTGCTTGGGAGTGGGAACGAGTGAGAGAGAGAGACTGAGAGATCCTCTGGTGTCTCCTATTGTAAGGACACTAATTCTAGGGTGTTAGGGACCCACACTTATGACCTAATTTAACCTTAGCTATTTCCTCAGAGGCCCTATGTCCAAATACTACCACCCTGACGGTTGGTTGGAGCTTCAACACATGAATTTGGGGGGGGGACACAAACATTCAGACGATAACACCCCCAGACAGCACTGCTGGCCCTGGAGGGTCCCAGGCACCAGGAGGGACTTAGAGGTGCCTGGGGGGTGCTCCCAGGTTCAGGGCTGCAGCAGGGGTTTGCGGGCAGTGCTGGCCCTGAGGACACAGCCTTAGCTCTTCTGGCCATTTCTGAGCACTTGCCTCTTGCCTGCCACTGTGTAATGGCTGTATGTACATGTCGCCCTCACTGAAACCTTTGAGGGGAATGCTGGGGAAACCAGCTTAGTGAGGGCAGTAACTTCCTGATTTGGGGCCACCGTAAAGGCAGCATTGGGAGACCAGGATGTTGGTGGTGGCCCCAGAATTGCTCATGGCAGGCTTGATTCAGGTCCTGGGGTAGCAGGCTTGCACTCAGGCCCTGCTCCTCCCCTCCGCACTGTGCTGGTGGGCGGTGGTCTTCCCAGATAACGCCCTTGGGCCACACGCCCACCAAAGCCTGTGGATCCCTCAGGACCCTAGCACCGGCACTGTGCTTTGTGGCAGGTGTCTGGCTCGTGCCAAGTAAAGCCAGCTGAGCTGAATATCAAAGCGGTACCTGAGGGACTGTTCTCCCCCTGCCGTACCCTGCTGTTCCTGCACAAGGCAGAGACCCAGCACCTCAGACCTTCTGAGGAGTCGACCCATGTCCCCTGCGAGTGCTCCTGGAGATTCACAGTGCTCTCAGGGCTACCCTGCATTCTCAGGAATAAACAGCATTCCCAGGCACCATTTCTTAATAAAACTGAGCAGCCACACAGGATCCAGGCAGGTATGGTGAAGCACGTGCGCTTGACTAACGCCTTTCTTCCTCCTTTCTTCCCTTCCCCAGCAGTTTTGTACCCAAACCTGGCAGAATTGGAAAGTTATATGGGACTTTCCCTCTCCAGCCAAGAAGTCCAGCAGAGCCTGCCTCAGATTCCAGAGGGTGACAGTGTAGGTATTTGTCTCCTGCCCAGCGTGGGCACAGAATGTCCCAGCCCTCTTTCCTTCTTGGTCTTGCCATTTAAACGGACCTCCCTTTTCTCTGTGTTTGAATCTCCTCTTTCCCCAGCATTCAACGGTTCTATTTCTTGACAGCACTTTTCATTCTGAGTCTTCACAAAGAGCTCTTGGAGGTTTCATGGTTTCACGCTTTCATGCCAGGGCGTGCTCTTTGACCTGTGGCTTCAGGTTGCTGGCCTGAAACCCAGCCAGAGCCTGGGGGTGTCTGACACTGGGCTTCCTGGGACTCAGAAAGGCAAGGATAGGCAGAGCCAAGAGGGCAGGAGCTTGTCACCCAGATCCAGTCCCCAAATTAAACAATAATGCTTGATTCCTATTTCCATGGCTTTGGGAGCAAAAGAAACCATAATACAGAAATATTTACTACTGAAAATGTATTCGCTTACAGAATCAGTCCCCACTCAAACCCCGTCCAGTTAGCTCTAGCATCCCTGTGGCCTATCTGTCAGTCTTTGTCTGCCAGCCTTTCCCTGAGCCAATGACATCAATGGCAGAATACTACTGTGAATCCTGCTGAGGCCAGAGGATTTCATGAAGTTGGTGGAGGTGATGATGGAGAACTGGCACAGCCACATACAAAGTCACTGACAAATGAAGATCTGACAGGAGAAAATCAACAAGAAGGAGGACATGTGGGACCCTGAGAAAAACTGGTGACACCTTGGGGTGTTTCTCCTACTTGCTGGTCATGCTGTGAAATGCAGACATAAAACAAAGAAGGTCATGTTGTGTGTAACTCCGCTTTAATCATTACTTGTTCCAATAATTAGGACATAAATGCCTTCTACCTAAATTTGGATAAAAATATAAGATGATAAATGCATTTTTATAATTTAAGAATTTTTCATTGTTTTTAATTTTTTCTTTTTAAATAATAATAGGTTCATGGTAAGTTGCAAAGATAGAACAGAGAAGTCCCTATACCCTTCACCCAGTTTCCTTAATGGTTACATTTTATATAACCGTAATATAGTTGGTTATATATATAAAAACCGGGAGTTCTACACCAGTACAATGTATGGCTATACATTTTACATCGTTCTGTGTCATTTTATCACATAAAATAGATTGTGTGTAGATTCATGTAACCACCACCGCAATCAAGATACAGAGCGATTCCATCACCACAAAGATCTCCCTCAAGCTATCTATTTATAATCATGACCACTTCCTCTTCCACACCCTCCTTAACCCCTGGCAACCACTAGTCAGTCTTCCGTCTCTATAATTTTGTCATTTCAGAATATTTTAAAAGTGGAATCACACAGTATGTGACCTTTGAGATTGGCTTTTTTCATTCCGCATAATACCCTTGAGATTCATCCACGTTGTTGTGTGTATCAATAATTCGTTCCTTTTTTCTGCTGAATATATTCCATGATGTGGATGTGCCAGGGTGTATTTAATCTGTTGAGGGACATTTTAGTTGTCTCCAGTTTTTGGCTATTACGGACAAAGCTGTTTGTGTACAGGTTTTTGTCTGGACTTCAGTTTTTATTTCCCTGGGATAAATGACCAGAATGCAATTGCTAGGTCATGTGATAAATGCAGTTTTAAGTTTTTAAAAGAAACCGCTAAACTATTTTACTTCAATAAAATGGCTGTACCATTTTACTTCCCTGCCAGCAGTGCATGAGAGCTCCAGTTTCTTCACATCCTCACTAGTATTTAGTGTTATCATTATCTTTAATTTTAGCCATTATGATAGGTGTGTAGTGATGACTCATTGTGGTCTTAATTTGCATTTCCCTAACAGCTAGTGATGTTGAACATCTTTTCATGCGCTTATTTACCATATGTATATTCTTTTTGGTAAAATGTTTCTTTATATCTTCTGTGCATCTTTTAACTGGCTTGTTCTTTCTTTTTTCTTTTTTTCTAAATACTCTACCTTGTTGTTTCTCTAAGTCAAGTTCTGAGAGTTCTTTATACATTCTAGAGTTTTTGTAAATATTTTCTCCCAGGCTGTAGCTTATCTCTTCATCCTCTGAAAAGGGTCTTTCGCAGAGCAAAAGTTTAATTTTGGTGAGATCCATCTTATCGATTTTTTTGTTTTGTGGATCATACCTGTCCTAACAAATTTTTAACAAGCCCTAGGTCCTGAAGATTTTCTCCTTTGTTTTCTTCTGAAATTGTTACAGTTTTAGGTTTTACATTTAAATTTATGATCGAATTCAAGTTAATTTTTGTATAGGTTGTGAGGTTTAGGTCAAAGGTCATATTTTTGCCTATAGTTGTCCAGTTGCTCCAGCACTTTTGTGGAAATGACAGTCCTTCCTTCATTGAATTTGCACTTGCAGCTCTGTCAAAAAACACACACCTACTTGTGTGAGGCTATTTGTGGATTTTCTATTCTGTTCCCTTGATTTTTTTTTTTTTTTGGCCAATGGGGATCCAAACCCTTCATCTTGGTGTTGTCAACACCACACTCTAACTGAGATAACCAGCAAGCCCTTGCATTGATCCTTGTGTCTATTCCTTTGCCAATGCCACACTGTCTTGATTCCTGTAACTATATACGAAGTCTTGAAATTTGGCCGTGATTCCTCTCACTTTATTCTTGTCAGAATTATCTTAGCTATTCTAATTCCTTTTTCTTCTTACAGAAAGTTTAGATAAGCATGCCTGTATCTGCAAAACATCTTGTAGAAATTTTGATAGAAATTGTGTTAGATCTGTATATCAATTTGGGAACAATTGACAGCTTTACTAGTTCTTTCGATTCATGAATACAGAAGATCTTACATTTATTAGATCTTCTTTGATATCTTTTGTCATTATTTTGTCATTTCCAGTGTGCAATTTCTGTACATGTTTTGTTAGCATTTACTCCTAAGTATTTCCTTTTTTGTGTGTGATTGTAAGTGGTATTGTATTTTTAATTTCAGTTTACACGTGTTCATTGTTAATATATAGAAGTACAATTGATTTTTTGTATATTGATTTTGTGTCCTGTGACCTTGCTGACTCATTTATTAGATCTAGGAGTTTATTTCTAGGTTCCTTGGTATTTTCTAGTGGACTATCATCTCTAAAAAGGGACGATTCTATTTCTTCTTTTATGATCTGTATGCTTTATTTTTCCTTTCCTTGCCTTATTGCTCTGGCTCAGTCTTCCAGTACTATGTCTAGTAGTAGTGGTGGGAGTGGACGTCTTTGCCCTTTTCTGCATTTTAGGGAGAAGCATTCATTAATTTTTATACTTTTAGCTTAATTTTTTTTTGAGGACATAATATCAAGCCTTTTTATTCCCATTGCTTACTATTTTTTTCTGAGACTTGCCCTTTTCTGCATTTTAGGGAGAAGCATTCATTAATTTTTATACTTTTAGCTTAATTTTTTTTGAGGACATAATATCAAGCCTTTTTATTCCCATTGCTTACTATTTTTTTCTGAGATTCTTTTTCTATTTTAAGTGGACTTTGAAGAGATCTTTTCCTGATTATCAATTTCCCTTGGAAAATGAGCATCCCTCCCTGTATCCACGCCTCCTCTTCTCGCCCCGGTTCTCTGGCTTTTTAGGGGTGGACTTTGACGCCCCCTAGTGGCTTCATAGAACCACGTCCCCTCTCCGGCCCTGCGAAGTGTGCGATGGGGTGGGGGTGGGGGCCCAGGGACCTCCCGCTCCATCCTCCTTTCCCCATCCCTGTCCCCACCCGGTGACCCCTGAGGCACTGGGCCCCAGGCGCCGGGCTGACCCCTTGCTCCCCTGATATCTGCAGACGGCGGTCTCGGGCCCCTGCGCCGGACAGGTGGTGGCACCGGTGTCCGGGAACAGCCTGGGCGTGCGGCGTGCGGAGATCAAGCCCGGGTTGCGCGAGATCCACCTGTGCAAGGACGAGCGCGGCAAGACCGGGCTGCGGCTGCGGGCCATCGACAAGGTAGGGCGGGTGCGGGCGGGGACGGAGGGGCCCTGGGCCGGCCTCGGGCAGCGCGCGGGGGCTTCCTCTGCGGGCTCAGGGGACCCCGTCCGCAGTAAGCGAGGCGGAGAGCGGGCATCCTAACTGCCAAGGCCAGGCTCTTTCTCTCAATCCCTCTTCCCGCGGGACCCCCGTCCGTGGGCTCGCGTCGTTCAGAGCTTCCCCGTTCCCCTCTTTCCCCAACAGGGATCTGGCTTCCATGTGACTGTCTGTGGACAGTGGGTGCCGGAGAAGCCGATGGCTCTGTGAAAGGCAGTACAGCAGAGTAGTTGGGGGTGCAGCCTCCCGCCAGGGTGGAAATCCTGACTCGCCTCCTTCCTAACTGTGTGGCTGGAGGGTTTCTCTCCAGGAGGACGGGAATGCCATTGCACCTGCCCTGCAGGGCTGTAGTCCTGGTAACCCTGTAGGCTCCTGGAGTTCAGGAGGAAAGCAGCGGTTTGGTGGAGGGGCCTGGGCTCTGGGTGGACCAGCAATGTGACTCTGGGCCCTGCCTCCCCCAGGGGCTCTTTGTGCAGTTGGTCCAGGCCAACACCCCTGCGTCCCTCGTGGGGCTGCGCTTTGGGGACCAGATCCTGCAAATTGACGGGCGCGATTGTGCCGGGTGGAGTACAGACAAAGCCCATCGGGCGGTGAAGAAGGCATCGGCCGAGAAAATAGTCATGGTTGTTCGGGACAGGTAAGCAGCCAGGCTTCAGAAACCTCTCTGTCTGACCCTAGCCACATCCCCAAACTTAGCTCACTGTCCCTCCCCACCAGGCCATTCCAGCGGACTGTCACCATGCACAAGGACAGCGCTGGCCATGTTGGCTTCATCATCAAGAAGGGGAAGGTCACCGCTGTGGTCAAAGGGAGTTCTGCGGCCCGCAACGGGCTCCTCACCAACCACTACGTGTGCGAGGTGAACGGTCAGAACGTCATTGGGCTGAAGGTAGGCCAGGAATTGCAGGGTTGGGGAGACTGCTGGGTGCTAAGGCTCATGTCTGTGGCAGGCTGCTGCCCCACCCAAGCCTCAGCTTCCTCATCCTGCGGTTGATGAGAGGATTCAATAAGACAACGTAGCTAAGCTCTGAGCACAGTGCCAGGCATGTAGCACGTACTTGATAAATATTAGCTGATGTTACTAACACATGGTGGCCAGAGGCATGACAGAAAGAGGGGGTGACAACATGTGTGAGGACACAGGCACCCAGGTGGCTATTGGCCACATGACGCCTCCTTGCTCTGTGAGGCACTTCTGTTTGCATACTGCATCACGGTCAGGAATAGAAATATCTTAAAAAATTGCTGTTCAGAAATCCATTTCTGGGGCCGGCCCAGTGGCGCACTCGGTAGAGTGCGGCGCTCCCACCGAGGGTTCGGATCCCATATAGGGACCAGTCCACTCACTGGTTGAGCGCGGTGCGGGCGCGACACTGAGGGTTGCGATCCCGTTGCCGGTCGTGGTGCGGGTGCGACACCGAGGGTTGCGATCCCGTTACCAGTCACAAAAAAGACAAAAAGGAGAAAAAAAAAAAAAAAAAAGAAATCCATTTCTGACCTATGTTCGTTTTTCAAGGGTGCGTGTGAGTGTTGAGTTTTATTTTTAAAAAGTGAGAAGGAGCAGGTAATCTAGGGTCAGTGGTGTGGACATGGAATGAGGAGTGGGTGTCCTTGGGGATGGACAATGATGAGTCACATGAGTTTTGGTCCCCAAATAAGTGGAAGTGCTTTTATCCTGACTTGGTGGCACTTGGACTGAGAGTGGTTCTCAGTCCCAGTTGTGATTTGTTTTATTTATTATTTATTTATTTGGCATCTGGCTGGTACAGGGCTCAAACCCTGGACCAATTGTGATTTAGAGTGGGAGTCCCTTCTCCTCTTGCAGCCAGAGCTTTAGAGCATATGTGACAGGGCTTCCCTAGCAGAAGTGGCCTGGTCGGTGGCATCTCACGCCATGGCTGGCACAGTCTTTAAGCCAGTTCTCTGCTCCCCATAAAGGCCATCACCAAGCCATTTCTGTCACATGTCTGCTTCCTTGTGCTTGATTTCTGCCCCACCTTCCTTGGAGACTGGTTCTGGTGGCTCATGACCCTTGTGATCAGGAACCTCTTCCTAATATCTAAGATCCCTCTTGCCACATCCTCTCCCCTTCCTCTGGGATCAGGCATAACAATCCAAAAGAAACCCACTGTACTTAATAAGTTGGGTACAGTAATACCAGTTCTGAGTAGCTGGAGTTTTCTGATATTAGTGAATACACTCCTTTCAAAGCATTACAGTTTCTTGATATTAACTGTTCTGGAGAACAGTCACTCTAAGATGTGATTCTCTCATCCTCACTGATGGCTCAAGCCATCGTCATGAGCTTATCAGTAACTCTATTAACCATGGGATTGTGAGGCTCTTAGGGACTGGGTTGTCCCTTTACTGAGCAACTCCAGACACCTGTGCTTCTGGAGATCACTTATCTTTTCACAGTTTATTTTTTTCTACCCTGTGGCCATGACTAGTCCTATCTAGCACATCTTCTCCCATTTATTCTGGAATACCTAAGAAAACACATAACCAGATTACATATATGTATAAAGTAAAGGTCGCTAGGCTCTGAGTAAGGGCCAGAGGCTTTTTTATGGCCTTAGCTTTCGTGTTTGATCATCTGGCACACTTTGCTTGGAGACTTAGTTTCTCATTCTCTCCATGATCTAATGTCTTCTGCAGGCCTTTCTCTTTTCACCAGTCAACAAGATGTAAGAGGAAAAGGACCCCTGTGGCCCTGGCTCAGGCTGGCCGGCCAGCAGGAGCTAGTGGGGTGGGGGTGGTATGCTTAAAGTCTCCCATTGGATGGTTATTGTCTTTGTGCTTTGGGGCCAGGACCCAAGTGTCTATGGGGACAGGGAGAGGAGGTGGAAAATATGGGGTCAGTGAGCTCCAGGAGCTGTTACAAGAGGAAGGAGAATCACGTCTGTGAGGCTTGGGATGTGTCAGGCCTGCACAGCTGGCCTTCAAGGAGAGGGTGGGAGTGCCATGTTCATTTGACCAGGGAAATCCTCTGGAGGAGGTCTGTGTTCTTACACAAGCAAGGCCTTACCTGGGTGTCTGCCTGGGACTCTCATCTCACAGGCTCAGGGGCCCAGAGCCCCTGCAATCAGGTGTCAGAGGTGTCCTCCAGCAGCGGCCATGCTGACCCCTCCACACAGAGGCCTGCAGAGCTGCCCTGGCCCCTGCCCCCCAAGGTAACTGCTCACTCTCCTCCTCTGCAGGATAAAGAGATCACGGAGATTCTGGCCACGGCTGGAAACGTTGTCACCCTGACCATCATCCCCACTGTGATCTATGAGCACATGGTCAAAAAGTAAGGCTGCACCCCTCCTCCGTCTTCCCCCCCATCTCCCCACCTCCCAGGGCACACCTGGGCTCAGCCACTCCAGCTTCCTCAGCATTGACACAGGGCATAGACCCCACTTTCTCCGAAAGCCCTCTTCCCTCCCCCCAAGGTGGGGGTGGCCTCTGGTGATTTGAAAGTCTTAGAACTGCGAGGGAAGGTGCACACGGCCTGCACGGGCTGGGGGTGGGGGCGGAGAGAAGGAGCTGCCAGTCTGGGCCACTGTTGTTGTTGCTGTATCCAGGTTGTCCCCGACCCTGCTTCACCACACCATGGACCACTCCATCCCAGACGCCTGAAGCCACAGGAGGGCAGCTCGGGTCCTCCCGCCCTCCTGAAGGAAATGACAGCCGCCCTTGCCCTCGGATGACAGGCTGCGGCTGCCTGGGGTTGGGGCTGTCTTGAAGGGCGTGTTCCAGGTGGGTGGACTTCGGATCGTGTGGCTGTGCCATTGATACACAAAAGTCTCCTTGGAGCCTCAGACTCTTAGCCGGGCGGAGGCACTGGTTTAAATACTGGGCACGTAGGCAGTCTGGCCACACACTTCTTAAAGTTGCAGCTGGTCTCTTTCAAGATCTTCCCTCTCTCAGGAAAAGTTACATGTTTTGAGAGGATAAAACTACATTCTTTGTGAGAATTTTTTCTTTGCCTTTACTTGCTCTTTGTCACAGGCTGTATATACTTATACCCCTTTACTGTCTTTTGAATAAAGATTTAATTTTATTTATTTATTTTTTTAAAAGATGACCGGTAAGGGGATCTTAACCCTTGACTTGGTGTTGTCAGCACCACGCTCAGCCAGTGAGCAAACCGGCCATCCCTATGTGGGATCCGAACCCGGGGCCTTGGTGTTATCAGCACCGCACTCTACCGAGTGAGCCACGGGCCGGCCCAAGATTTAATTTTAAACAAAATCCCTTGCTCAAAGGTAATTGAAAATTCCAGAATCTTTGGTTCCCTGATGCCTGCTAGTCTGGCTCAGGGATGGCTAGAACTGGGGGGACAGTGTGGGACTGTGGGGCAGCAGGACTAGTAGAGGGGACACTGGCTTTGGGGCACCCCGCTGAGTGATGCAGCTGCTTCTGCATCTGCAAAATGGGCCTGAGAACCCTCCTCGGGGGTGTTGGGGAGGATAAAATGCGGTGTACTTAGCCCAGTGAGGTGTGACAGCTGGAGGCAGAAGAAAGTGGTTCTGCACCCTGTGCCTGACCCCCAGGGGCTGTGGCACCCCAGCCCCATGCAGCAGGGCCTGGCAGGGCTGAACCAGCACTCAGCTCTCTGTTTCCCTCCAGGTTGGAGCAGATTACTGTCTGCTTGGCTTTTCCCTGAGTGAACGCTATGACCCCTGTGCTGGAGGAGACTGGGAGCCCCCCATCACCTCCCCCCTTAGAAACATGACACAGGATAAACACAACAGGCCGAGGGTCTCTCTGTGTTTTCATGCTTTAATTCAGAGCTGTCAGCTGCAGGTACAACTCTGTCTGAACAAAAGGACAAAGGAGACAAGAGTCAAGACCCCTTCCCACCTCCCCCCTTCCCACATCCCCTAAATTCTGTTTAGGGGATGGCCTAATATGTGAGTGCACTGTGACCCATTTGCATTGTCCCCTAGGTCAGAGAGGGTTGTGAGTTCACTGGGCAGAGGTCCCTCTGTAGGCCTTTGCCCCAGAACCTTGTAATTTGCCCCACCCCTCCCCAAAGTGCTGTCAGATACCCCTGTGCTAGTGGCAATTGGGAAGGGTGTTTCAGTGGAACGCTAAGTTATCCCCTTGGGAGATATCTGTAATAAACCTCTCTCAAAGCCAGCTCTCTGTGCCCAGTTCCAGGCCCCGCCTCCCAATTCCTGCCTGAGCCTGGACTGGAGGGGCAGCAGGGCTGCTCTGGCACAAGCCGTAGAACTAAGGAGAAGCCGCATCTGGCCACTGGGCTCCAAGACACCAGCAGCTCCAGGAGGTGGCTCCGGGGACATTGTTCCTCAGGACCTAATCAGCTCTGGCCAGAGGCTGAGGAGAGGGGAGGCCCCAGAGATTTCTGCTGCAGAAGCCAAGGGCAGGAGGGAAAGCTCACAGCCCAACAGGAGGAGGTATTCAGCGGGAGGGAAAAGGGGCACTTTGGCGGATGAACATTCTCAGTGGGTGGGCCTGGCCTCCAGCTGCCCGGCCTGGCCCCCTAGCCGCCATTCCTGCCCTCCCAGCCCCACATTCTGTGCCCTGCCCAGTCAGGGCTTGGAGCCTGAGCCAGCAGGCTGCTGCCCCTTCGCTGTCCAGAGCTGCACAGGTGGCTGTACCCTTTGCATAGATGTGGGATACTGAGCACACACACGCACATACGCACGCACAAGCTGGGCCAGAGCCGCCTGGCCAGCATGGTCCCAGGGTCTGTCCTAGGGCTGGGCAGTGAGCTGCTTCCTCCACTGACAAGAAGAAAGGCCTGCCAAAGGCCTCACCAGTACTCTCCAAAGAGAGGACACTCAATGCTTTGGGCTCCGGCCACTTGTGACCCACACAGGCAAGTCCCAGGCCAGAGCAGGAGTAGAATGTGGCAGCCCACCCCTCCACGAGTGGCTTCTCCAGCAGCAGGGACAGAGTGGGCTATGGCCCCAGCCCTGCCCATGTCCACCACAACACGAGACACAACAGGAAGGCCACAGACAGCAAGACACAGACTGAGTGGCTTCTCCAGCAGCAGGGACAGAGTGGGCTATGGCCCCAGTCCTGCCCATGTCCACCACAACACGAGACACAACAGGAAGGCCACAGACAGCAAGACACAGACAGGAGCAGAGGCTACGCGGCTTGACTAAATTCCAGTGGTGAAAAATATATAGATTTTGTGTTGTCAAATATAGTTCATACATTTATTTTCTCAGCAAAGCTTTGACTGTTTCTAAGGAGACACTATGCGGCTCTGTGAGGACTCGGCACAGGAGGCTTGGTCCACAGCCAGTCCCGACTTGGCTTTGGATTGGTTTTGTCCACTGCCCCCTCCATGGCACGACCCCAGTGTCCTGTGGGGCAGCCCCAGGCAGGCCCCAGGCATTCAGGTTTGGTTCAGCTGGGGCAGGGGATGCTCCACAAAGGATGGCTGGTCTGAGGCCCTGACCAATGTCGGGGAGCTTTGGAGGTACAAAGCGCATGGCAGAGGGGGCTCTCGCCCCGATGGCTGGGCTGGCCATCCACTCCTAATACATGCAGGTGCCCGCCATGAGCAGAGGACACAGAGCAGAGGGCAGAGCCCACGAGTCAGGCAGTGGCTGTGGGGGCAGTAGAGGTAAGGGCAAGCAACCCTGGCAGAGAACCAGAGTAGCCCCCTGGCCAGAGCTCTGGGTGAGACACAGGGTCCCACAACTTCCCAAACATGGGGCCCACCCTCTGAAGAGTGGAGGGACAACCAGATGGGTGTACCCCCTGCGGGGGAAGAAGAGCGAGTTTACTTTGTACATAATAATGGAAATGAAATGTCAGCAGCTTTGCTCAGGGCCTCAGATGGGTCCCAGGGAAAGAATGGAGGATGGGGACAGCGAACCTGCCTAGGCCAACTGGGCTGGAGCTGGGAATAGGCAGGCTGCAGGGCTCCTGCCCGCCCTGCCCCGCCCCTTCCTGGAATCGCATCCCAGAGCACCTGCTTTGGCCTGGACAGACTTCATGGCTTCAAACCCCATCTTGTGACTCATCCTGCCAGAATTCTCTGCCCTCCTCCAGAGGCAGAAAGATCTGAGATTTAGAAACCCTCGTCCCAGAAAGCGAGCAGCCACCTCACGGGAGATCCTGGGATGGGCAAGAGACAAGCCGCAAAGTGAACACAGTGCAAAGCTGAGTTGAGCCCGAAGCATCCAGAGAAACTCGGGCAAGCTCCAGGAGCAGTCACGGCCTCTGGCTTTTCATACAAGCTGAGGATTTCTGAGTCCAGCCCCGCCTGCCTCCCAGACGGCAGATGAGATGGCCTCAGCTCAGAAGGCTGCAGGAGCCCCCGAGCTCCCTGTCCTGCCTCCTCTTCTCATGCTGGCGGATTCTACGGCTGGGAGCTGGGCTCAGCAAGGTTCCCACCCCAGCACTGAGTTGTTGGGCTTGGCTGTCTCCCAGGGAGAATAATCTGACAGACCCAGAAGTGCCAAGAAAGAACTGGATTAGGGGGAAGGCCTGGGATGAACAGACAGATGCAGAAGCCACAGTGGCCTCTGCCACCATGTGCCCCAGCACTGTCTTTCCCCCAGCCTGTGGCCTCAACTGTGTTTCTGCATCATGAAGTGGGGAGGGGTCAGGGAGCCTGGAGCTCCGACCCCAGCTCTGAGTCCTCGGGTCAGCTATCTGCACTTTGGGCCACAGCTGCCTCCATCTGTGGTGATAATACTGGCCCAGAGGCCTGGGCTGAGGGCAAGCAGTGGCTTGGGAGAGAAGGCTGGAGTGGGCAGGGCACTGGACAGGACAGTGTGGGGTGGGGAGGCTCCGATAAGCAACTCAAGCCCAGCTTCCCCTAATGAATACAGCCAGAGACTTCCTGAGCAGTTTATACTGTCTACAGGGCCAGGTGGACAGAGGGGCCAGATTGGGGGGACCCTCCCACCTCCTCCCTCTGCAATTTGTTCAATCACTCTGCCTCCCTGCCTTTGGTCTCCCTTCCTTTCTCTGTTGAAGTTTGGGGATGCCTTTTCCCAACCCCCACTCCCAGTCCCTGATGCTGTTAAATCCTGAAAAAAATGATTCCAAACCCACAACTAAATAAATAAGATGATGCTCCATGTGCGAGGGGGAGAATGGCATCCCTACAATCAGTGGTCAGGCCGCCGGAGCCACTGCCCGGGATGGACCTCCTTAGAGCTGGGAGCTGCCGCCTGCAGAGCTCGGGCTCGGCTGGCTCAGCGAGCGGCAGCTGATCCTGCGGATGGAGTGCAAGGCCACGGTGCAGCAGCCCCGCAGCAGGGAGCTGATGTTGTAAATGGGCTGGCCTTGGCGCCGCTGGGAGCGGCAGAGCCAGGCCACCGTGGGCACGGCCGGCACCACCACGGCCAGCAGATCCACGATGTAGTGGCGGCTCCAGTAACTCTTGGGCTCCTTCTCGGCTGCAGCTGCCTCCTCCTCCTCTTCCAAGGGGCACACCACGCTCACCGACGGGCCAGGGTTGGGATTGGCACCAGGCCGGTGTGGGGTGGGCCCGTGGGTGATGGGCTCCAGGGCCTCGAGCTCTTCACCCACTGTCACCACCACTGCTGAGTTGGGGTCTCTGGGTCCTGGGGGGTGGGGGTCCAGCTCTGGGTGCCTGTCCCCTGACTCGGGGATTGTCCCACAGACCTGGGCTTGGGTCACTTTCTCCAGGATGGTGTCCAGGTCAGGCTGGTACTGCACGAAGTCTGTTTGGATAGCACGCTCCTGCATGCAGCTGGCCTGCACGCCGGCCTCCATGCCACACAGCAGCTTCTCGTAGGTGTTGCTGGCGGGGAAGCGGGGGCCCAGGCCGAAGGAGCTGTGTATCGAGGCCTCCTCACTCCTGCATGCAGCTGGCCTGCACGCCAGCCTCCATGCCACACAGCAGCTTCTCATAGGTGTTGCTGGCGGGGAAGCGGGGGCCCAGGCCGAAGGAGCTGTGTATCGAGGCCTCCTCGGGGCCGCAGTCCACCCCTGATGACAGCAGGCTGCTGGCCTCCAGTGCATCCGTCCGGCTCAGTGTGTCGTCCGCTGCCGCAAAGCCACTGTCAGCCCCATCCTCGGCAGAGGCGCTGGGGTCGTCACCAGGCTGGCGGTCGCCGCAAACAGCCGGGTCACTCAGCTTGGTGTAGGTGGAGCTACGGGTGAGGGAGCGGGCGGGGGACCCGCCGGCCGACTCGCCGGTGCCGTCCTCCTTGGCCATCCCATTCTGGGCCACCTCCATGCTGTGCAGCAGCGTCTCCAGCTTCTTGTTCTGGATGTTGATGTCCACGAAGTACTTCTGCAGCCCCTTGTCCTTGTCAATCAGGTTGTTCTTGACAGTGTCGATGACTTGCTTGAGCTGCTTGATCTCCTTGCGGGCCTCCTTCAAGGCCAGCTGGGCCTCTACACGGTGGCACTCCTCCTCGATCCAGTCCTCTTGCATGCGTGACAGCTGAGTCTTCAGGTCATCGATCTCTGTGTCCCTGCAGGCAGAAGAGACACATACGCACACACTTACTACCTGCTGCCTGGCCTGTCATTGCCACCAAGGAGAGGCAAGGAGGGGACAGTGTCACCAAGGATGGAGGGCCCAGTGTTGCTGTGGCTCAGAGCCAAAAACAAGAGGAAAGACTCAAGGCCTAGTTCCTCTTCCTTTTTATTCCACAGGGAGGAGTGAGTGTGGGAGAGGAGAGGGGCTGAGGGGTGAAGACAGGAGAGGAAATGTCAGTAGGAGACACCCCCTGCACCCACACCGCCAGAGGCCCAACTGCTGACAGTGTTCAACGTTCGAGTCATCAGCTAGAGCAGAGACTAGACAACAAGGGTTCTAAATTTACGAGTTCTAGCTACTGCTACAAAAACCCGGTAAGATCCTAACATAAAACAACAAAAACTAGACAGAAAAGCTCTGCCCTATAGAAAGGGACGTGGCCTCCTGCTAGCACAGGTTGTAATAATTTTAAATGGATTTTTTCAAATGGGTATTTGGCTAGAGACCCCAGGAAGAGGGCAGAGGGCTGCTTTGTTTTTCAGAGAGAGATGACCGCCTTCAGCGTCGGGGTTGGGGGAGAGCTGACAATTTTACATCTCCCCTCAAGCAGAGGGATGAGAGGTGGGAGAGGCGCTGGTGGAGAGTGATGAAAATGGGGTGGCTCTCTTTTATCCACACAAGAAGTTTCTTCTTTGAATCTACTGTAAAGAGGAAAGACGGAAAAGATCGACGAAAAAGGCACAAACTTGCTCCTGAGAGGAGGACAAAGCACTGGGAAAACCAGACAATTGGAAGACTCTTGTCCAGAAACATTCAGGCTTTTTCAGTCCCCAAGTCACAGATAAATCTAGGGGGTACGGGGAGGGAGGTGACATAGAAAACCATCCCTTCAAGTCTAGAGCAAGACTGAAGAGCAACCGATTAATAGTAGTGAGAAAAGAGGAAAATCGACGGTGGGACTTAAACCCTGCCCTGCACGTTCCTCCCCCAACACGCTTCCTCGTGGTGCAGCCCGCGTGCAGCTGCTCAGCCAAAACCCTATCCTTGCCTAAATGAAATCTATGGATGGCACGGCTGTCACTTCGGGGTTTACAAGCCCAGCCGAGTGACCATCCTAGATCAAGTACATGTACTTGTCAAAGTCAGATTGGAAATTCCATTCAGGAAGTGGGCCCAGGAATCTCATCCCACAATATATTGAAGGGACTGGGACGGGGGGATTGCAGTGACCACAATGGTCAGCAATGGCATCATCCGGAAGGGGACTGAGCACCCAACAGCATGCAGCTCAACAAAGGCAGTGGGGGTGGCAGCAGTGGGAGCTGCTTAGAGCGGCAGGAGCAGATGAAACAAAAGGTACTGGGGCCGGGGGGAGGGTTCTTCACTCCTCCTGCCTCATGGTGAGGGGCTCAGTCTAGGGTAACCCTCTTGACCTTCCTCCCTGCTCCTCATCACACCTCCCCCTGGGAGGAAGAGTGATTTTGGAAGAAGGAACTGGTTATGGTTGGCTCAGCTGGTCCCTGCCCCTCCCTCCTTGGAGCCAGCTGGACTCCAGGGACTAATGGCTTCCCAGAGCTGTTTATGCCTCAGTGGCTTGCAGGGCATTACATTTGAACTGGGTTTTGAAGGTTGAGTTTGCCAAGGGAGCAAGACGGGGGAAGGGCATCTCAGGTAGTGGGGACACAGCATACGAATGCACAGAGGTGTGAAAACACATGGCGTCTCTGAGGCACAGAAGGCAGGCTATGCAGGAATTATGGGCATGAAACAAAATACACAGAGAACGGCAGGAGTGTGACAATACGGCAAGTAAAGAACTGCCACATGTTCCTGCGATAGTAACAGGCAGACTGACCAGGGAGTTGAGGTGTGGGCACACCCACGACAGGGCATCCTGCCCAAACCACACAGGGCGGATGGTCTGCCTCAGCTGTGGGGCTGGCCCTAGAAAGGAAGCTGGGAGATGGGTCATCTGCTCCCTGAGGATATTAGTGCAAAAGACCATGCAGATCCTTGGCATCACTGGAAAGATGATGGGAAATAAAAACAGAAATCCTAGCTCTGCAGGCAACGAGGCTCACAGAGCACCCCCTGTAACCTCCCACAGTTCAAAACCACGACGAACCCAAAGTGGATTGGCTATGTGGCAGAGCTTTGGTCAAGAAACATGTGGTCATGCATGTTGCATGATTCCATATATATGAAATGTCCCGAATAGACAAATCCATAGAGACAGAAAGATCAATGTTCCCAGGGACTGGTGTGGTTGGAGAGAAGCAGGGAGTGATTGCTAAAGGGAATGCGGTTTCTTTCCGGAGCAACGAAAATGTTCATGAAATTAAATAGTGGTAACGGTTGCACAGCTCTGTGACTGTCCTAACAACCATTCAGTTGTATACTTTAGATATGTGAATTTTATGGTATGTGAATTACATGTCAATAAAGCTGCTATACTTTACAAAAAAGAAAAAAAAAATAATGTGGCCACAATGCCTGCCCCGAGCTCCTGTGCCCCACACAGTGCCTTGTCCTGCTCACAACTGCGTGTGTGCAGAGTCCACAGAAGGATGGATAAGATGATGGGAGGTCAGAGGGCAGCCCTGAAGGGTCAATCATAAAGACGAAGCTGCCAGGCTGGAAAAGTAGAGCCTGGGAGGGTCAGGACCGGGCGTCCTTGTGGTCCTGAGAATAAGCTCAGACAGGCGGGCAGGGCTCCTGGGAGACCCTTGGGCTGGGTAGGAGCTCAGCAAACGGTTCCTCATGATCTTACATCATCTATAAGCAAGAAGCAGATGAGGAGGAAGGCTCATGGGTCCTGAATTGGTGGGTCAAGAGCCCTGGGGTGACTCACCCAGTGGGCAGTAAAGGAGGGATAAAGGGTTGTTTCTTCTCCACAGAGACAGGTAAGCCAGAACTGCGCTCCAACTCCCGAGGGAGACAGGAGCCAGAAGATAAGAAGTGGCCAAAAGGGGTTGCCAGGTTGAGGCACAGGTGGGAGGCCTCACAGGACAGGCCCTGACAGGGAACTGCTGCCCGCCTGGCCCCAATCAGCCTCCTGGAGCAGTCAAGGAGAGTGGCTGGGCTGAGGCACAGGTGGGAGGCCTCACAGGACAGGCCCTGATAGGGAACTGCTGCCCGCCTGGCCCCAATCAGCCTCCTGGAGCAGTCAAGGAGAGTGGCTGGGGGAGGGGACTTGCTAATGCACTCAAATGAGGCTTTGCCAGGAAAGAGAAAGTGGGTGGATGCTGAGAAGCCCCTGGCCACTCCTTCCTCCCAGAGATGGCCCAGGGCCCTGGTTCCTCTGAGTGTGGAGCTGGCAGGGTGTCCCCAGGGCAGCCCCTGGCCACTCACTCACCGGTCCTGAAGCCGGTCTTGCGTGTCCTTCAGGCGGGCCTTCAGGTGCCGGATGCACACCTCCTTCTGCTGCAGTGGAGTCAGGTACTGCTCCGGGGTGGGGGGCTTGATGCCATGGTTGTCACTGCACAGCGTGTACTTCATGGAGCGCCTGCAAGGGGACACCCATCACTGGGGAGGGAGGAAGAGGACAGGCAAGGCACAGGTGCTGCGCCTCCAGGAAGCAAGGGCCCTTGTCCCACGACCAGGGATGGCTCCAAGCCAGGCCTCCCCACACAGGGCCTGTGTGGGCACGAGAACACCTAGCCTTCTGGAAGGTGGGTTTTAAGTAAAACTTTTCTGAGTGAAGACCATAGTGTCAGGGTGAGGGGTTCAGTGCTCCTGTAGTTAGGGGCTGGAGACATCACAGAGCCTGTGGTGGCACCATGACGAGTGCTTGACCAGTGCCATCTCTGACAATCCTTATAGCAGCCCTGGGAGCAGGGATTGCCTTCAGCTTTCAGAGGGGGTCACTGGCTTCAGAGAGGTTAGCTCTTGCCCAAAGCCCCACAGACAGTCCCAGTGGTGCACCCAGAACCCAGCCTTCCAGCCTCCCAACCCAGAGAATGAGTTTGAAGGCTTGAGGCTGGGATGGGAGGGCAGACCCTGGGTCTGCGTGGTGGTCAAGGACTCAGCCCCTGAAGAGGAGGAAACCTCTCCCAGGGTGGAGGGAGGAACTCTCTGCTGAGCTGAGAGCCCTCATGGTCTGGGGACAGGGAGAGAGACAAGTGTGCAGGCATGGCTGTTCCATACATGCTCTGACACACTCACTCCTCATCCTCCCTCATGTACACATGGGTGCGCACTACCTGTGCACACACTAGGAATGCACATCTGAGACTGTCGATTCCCAGTCCACCTGCACCTGCACGCCCACATACGTGTATACACACCCATGCCTGCACATCCCCACCATGTTGCTGCCGCCGTCACAGGCACTCACATGAACTAGGACACCAGCCTGTGCACACATTCACACACCCATACTCTGGGGGCACATGTGAGCACACACGTGAACACCTGCTGGCTCTGGGCATGGACTGCCAACAGCCGTTCCCTGAGGTGGCAGCGGGCTGGATGTGCGCTGCTCCCAGCATGGGGTGCACCAACGTGGTACGTGTATAGCACACCCTGGCCCCACCAGTGCAAAGGAGGAGGAATTCCCATTCAGAGGGCAGTCAGGTGCCAGCAGGGGAAAGGAGGGCCAAGGTTTTCACAAGGAAGGAGGGCACCCCAATGCCACAACAGACTACAGCCCAGCGCCTCCACTCACAGCTTCCTGGCTGCTGGTCGTTCTGTTCATAAAGAAACCTCCTTGGATCTTGGCTTAAAAACCTCAGCCTGTTCTGACACAACCAGAGACTCAGGTCTTGCTGCCATCCAACTCTGCTCCTTTAGGGAAGGGGTACTTCCAGGTCCAGAGAGGGGCAATGATACTTTACAGGACCAGAAAAGACAGGCCCTGGTGAGGGCCATTTGCTGAAGCAGCCACATTGGAATCCATTTTAATAGCTTTGTGGAAACTGTCTAATGTTTACTGTGGAAGAAGCATTTCAAGTTGCAAACTGTTGAAGAGAAAGTGGTGACAGAGGTGAGAAGGAAAAATGGTTCTCTTCCAGCTACCTACCTCATGGTCCCTAAGTTTAACTCAAGCCATGTCGCACCAGTCCTGTTTTGTGTTGGCAAGGGGCAGAGGAGTGGGGTGGGCTGGGAGCTGGGAGTCTCGCCGCTGGTCTAAGAAATCTCTTTCCAAAAGAGAAGCAAGCCCTGCTCAGTAGCCCCCTTTGGCTGGGGGGCACAGATGCCTGCTGAGCAAGAGGACGGCTCCCCTGTGCCGGGCGGGAGGGGTGCTGTAGCAGTGCGGGACCACGTCTCACTAGCAACGATTGAGGATTAGAGAGGAAGTAGCCATTTAAACTTCTTCCATTTGCTTTTATGAGTATTTTCCCCCAATATAACATTTAATGCTCATACATTTTTAGTCACTAGCTCTGTCTTTGTTTTATATACATATTTATATGTAAAACTGAGAAGGAAAATGTGCTATAACGCATGTGTCTCAGCTATTCATGCCTTGTGAAGCCTGGCTATTGCAGCAAGGCCCTATCGAGGCCCCACCGCTCATCCAGGGACCGCAACCCTCATGGTGGGCAAGAAGACCCGTCCACGGAAGCAGCACTCTGCCTTGGGGCTGGGATTGCCCCAGTGGGCTGCAGTTATGGGAAGTAGTAAAAAAAAAAATCTGTAACTCATGAAGCAGTATTAAAGTTGCCAATTATAAACTTTTCTTTTTCTTTCTTTTTTTTTTTTGGTGGCTGGCCAGTACAGGGATCTGAACCCATGACCTTGGTGTTCTAACACCAGGATCTAACCCAGTGAGCTAATGGGCCAGCCCATAAACTTTTCAAAATGTGTGTTAACACATCACTCATGTCCTCCAGGCCCTGGGTGGTGTTCTAGCCAGGAGGGTGGGTCCTGCACATGCACATCACCCATCAGGTGTGACAAGGTGGAGAACACTGAAAACTGCTGCTTCAGTGGCTCCAGACATCACTTCACACAAATGACATCCTCTCTGCTGGAAGGGCTAAGACAAGCCTTCCCAGGAGGTGCTCCGGCCACGGAAGCTACAGGCCAGACATTTCTTGGCCCACCACCCTCAAGTTAGACCAAAGTCCTCACAATGGCAGTGACCAACTGTCAGCATCTAGGATGTGCAGATATCAGCTCTCTGAAGCCTCTGGGTTATTAGCCCCATTTTACAGATAGGGAAATGCAGATTCAGAGACAGGAAGTGACCAAATCCAAAGCCCATGCTCGTCACGCAAACTCCCCGATGCTGGGGAAACAGGACGAGGCGCACTGTGACAGCTCTTACTTCCTAGTCTTCAGGGACCCACAGCTCCCGCTTCCCTGCCTCTCCAACCTGCTTCTGCCGACCTGATCCTGCTCTGGAGTCATGGTCACCTTACCTGAGACCATGACTTAGCACATGCTGTGTCTGTAACACATTTCGTTTTCCAAACCGACTCTGCTCTGCTACTCTCAAAGTGTCCCCTGAGAAGAACAAGAGGACACTGCCAGTGCCCTCCCACGACCCTTCTGGCCTTTCTTCCCAACACAACTCCAGTTTCGCTTGGGGTGACCCTATACTGGGGAAAACACTAACTCTCTCTGCACTAACTGGTCCTGTGGCTAAAGTTAGTCACATGACTCAGTTCTGGCCAGCGAGGGGTAGGCAGAATTTTCTGGGGAAGGTGTCCCTTCTCAGGAAAAACAACCTGAAGGAGGGCTTTGGTTCTTTCTACTTCTTTCTTCCTGGACGGCTGACCTGATACTTGGAGATGTAGGAGCCGTCCCCTGACGATGAGGACAAAAGCTGTACACCAAGGATGGCAGAGCAGGAATAGAGAAGGAGACGAGGTCCCTGATGCTCCAGGGAGCTGCCGGCCTCTGGCTGCTTGTTCTGAAAGCATCACCCCTAGTTCGTGCTAGCCCCGTATTTGGTTATGAGCAGCTGGTTGTTATCATTTCCATCTCACAGACAGGAACTGAGGCTCAGAGGGAGAAGTGACCTGCTCAAGGTCACACGGCCAGCGTGAGTGTGCTGGAGTCAGGGATGGTCAGAACACCATGCTGCTCCCCCACCATGCCCAGGGCACCCCGATTCGCAGCCTGCCACCAGGAAGGGAGAGGCAGATTACCTTGGCGTGGGGCTGCTGTCGCTGCCCTTGCAGGAGCCCGAGTTGCTGCTGCTGCTGAGGGAAGAGGTGCCGTAGGCATCCCGCATGCTCACGGGTGGAGAGGTGCGCCTGGAGGCAGGGAGAAGAGGTAGGTGCTCGTTCTGGCTGGTGGGCAGCTGCGGACACTGGGCGAACACTGCCAGGCCGCTGCGGCCCAAAGCACCCCCACTTCAGGGTTACCATGGGAAGAGAAGCAGCGGGGAGAAGGGGATGCACAGACAGGGGTGACAGAACAGACAGTACAAATCAAGATGGAAAACCAGAAGGAGGCTGGTCCTCCTGGCTCCCCAGGGACAAAAACAGAGGCTGGGCAGGGCTGTGGGCCAAGGGTGGGGCCCCATCTGCCTTACCGAGGGTCCTCAACTTCCAGGGTCCCCCAAGCCCAGGGGAGGAATGGGGACAGGAGGAGGGGCCCACGGGGGTGAAAATTCAGGAAGGCCCAGGTGAGCCTGAGTGGACGACTGGATGACTTCCCTCCAGTTACTGTGAAAAGCAAACAGTATTGACAAAGCCAGTGCTGGTAGGAATCCAGTGGCTTAAGCCTTCAGAGAACTTTTATATCAGCTGTGTCATTCGAGCCCTTAAATAGTTTCAGGAGGAGGCAAGTGTTAGCATCCCATTTTAAAGGTGGGAAAACTGGGGAAAAAATTTTCTCAGAGATACACTACAAGTCAGTGTTAGAGGGAGACAGGCCTGCCATCCTCCTGCCCTCTGAGGCCAAGGTTCTGGGCAAGGGGCAGACTCACCTGCGGGATCCAGCAGAGGCCCGTCTACTCCCCGGCAGGGACATGGCCATGAGGCTGCGGGTCCGGGTGAGGGGTGGGATGGGCGGTGTCCCCGGGGCTGAGGAGAGAGGGCGGGTTGGGAGGGCCGGGCCAGGCCATGTCATCCTCTCGCTGGGGCCGCTGCCCAGCATGGCTTCTCCTCTCACCCTTCAGCAGGACACCCCAGGACAGAGCGAGGGCCTGGCAGGCCTCCACCAATGAATTTAAGAGGGCTGGGGCACAGGCTCCTGCCACCTGACTTAAAGTCACGATTGTCAGAGCTTCAAGAGTGCCTAGAAATCAGCAGTCTAACCCTGTGTTCTCAAGATGAATGAATATGTCCCAGAGAGAGCAAAGGCCTTGCCCGAGGTCACAGGGGCATCAGGAGCAGGGCCTCCTGATTGCTGGTGCAGCACTGAGTTGTCTATGCTATGAGCCAGGCCTGCTTCTTCCCCAGGTCTCTGATGCCCAGACTGCCACCCCCTCGCTGTTCAGTCCTCCCTCCTTGGTGGAGGCTGCAGCTGGAGGACTCCTGGAGCAGGACCAGGAACCCCGAATTAGGCTGGTCTGGTCTCGCTGACCATCACCTTCCCAGTTGGCGTGTGGTTCGGGGCTTCCCGTCTACAGGGGAGATAAGACAGACCAACGTACCAGCACACGTGTAGAAAGACATGTGAATACACACGAACATGAAAAGGTACTATGTCCCTGTCATTCCAAGACATGCCACCCATGCCTCAGTGCACATGCTCAAGCACCCTGCCCACGATGCAGGACAAGCAGCCAGACCCTCTTGCACCCGTGCTGCACACAGGCATGCCCACACCCATCGTGCAAATGCGCATGCTGATTTTGGCATATGCCAGGAACTTAGGGCACAAGCTCAGAGCAGATGGGCACTGGGGTGGAGGGGAACAAAAGCCCTCCCCCAGGGGTGGGTGGACCTAGTAGGAAGCATGCATGCTTGGAGAGACCCAGCACTGGCCCTCTTGTAAAGGGGTAGGTAGACTCAGGCCCTCCGGCTCCTGCCCGGGAGTCCTTAGGCCTCTTTCCTGGGTGGAGGCTTGAGCTCCAAGGGCAGCCCTATGGGAATTTAAGGAGGGAGAAGCCCCATGCTGGGCTGCAGTTTGGCTGCTGTGGGGAGGAGGACTACACTGGGCATTAGCCTAGAGCTCCTAGAGTGAGGGAGAAGGGCCTGGGCTCTTTGCAGCCAACATGCTGGTCCTGTGCCAGCTCCAGAGACCCCACCCCCTCTTTCCATACTCAAAGCAGTAGCCTGGGTCACAGGACACTCAGCTGAGGACATGTGCCCTGGACCTCTCCCCATGCTGGGAGAGAAGCGTTCGCTGAGCCCCACTCCACATCAGACCCCGTGCCAAGCACGTTACGTACATCACGCCATTGACTCCTCCCAACAACCCTAAGAGGAAGTGCTGTAATTAGTCCCCTTTTACAGATGAGGAACCTAAGCCACTGAGAGGAAAGGAGGACAGGGGCTTGCCCAAGTCACACCCCAGATGTGTGGCAGGGCCAACATCTGAACCAGGAAAACCTCAGATGCTGAGGGGCTGGATCTCAAACCTTGTAGTCCTCGGCCCAGAGACCACCCCCTTCCCACGTCAGGGCCTCCCAGGAGCCTGGTCATTGTCGCCAGTGGTGGGGCTGCCTCCTGAGTGAACAAAGGTACTGTTCAGGTGGCCTGTTTCCTGGCTGTGACACAGAACACGGCCCGTTCCCCTGGAGGGCCTGGACACAGTCAGCATTGTCTGCCCAGAGGTGTCGGGTGCCTGGCTGCAGGAGCCGCTGACACCATCCTGTCACTTGAGCTGCTTGCCCCAGCTTGGCAACGCTTCCCACCCATTGTGCCCCGATATCCAGGCAGGGCTGTCTGGAACCGAGCAGGAACCACGGGGACAACAGTGCTCCTCCATACTTGTCAGGATGGCCACAAATGATTCACCTTGACCAGGAGCCACTGGGGGGTGGAGGGGGCAGGGGATGATTGTCTTTTCTTGTGGGTGGGCAAGAGCTTCAAGGATCACTTGTCACTGTGATCCTTCTGTGGCCAGGTGACCATGCTGAGTGCTTTTATGTGCCTCTTCAAGGCAGGCTTTGTTATCACATTTGGGCCCAAGGTCATAGCCCAAGTCAGCCTGACTTCATTGGCCATTCTCCCATCATCATCCCCTCCCCTCCGACTTTTGGGAGGATGTAAAGAGGACGTTGTGCCTTCAAGAGGACTTCTCAGAAGAGGTAGGCCTCATATCTAAGGACAGGCCTCTCTCTTTCAAGCCATCTTAGATGAGTGTTGCTAAGGAACTAGGAAAGTCCAGGTAGAGTTCTAGGCCTAGGTCCTGGGAGGCAGGCAAGATATCTAGTTTGCCTTGGAGCTTTGTGTGGCCTTGGTACAATGAAGGCTTTGTCCCAGCTGTCCCTGCTACTACCCTGCTTGGCAACCCCACACCTCCCTCCTCTTAAGTTCTCTCTTCCTTCCTCCCTGGCCTGGGGGTAGGAAGGGGGTGGCATTTGTACCTGGGTGCAGCTTGCAGTCTCCTGAGGGACCTGAGCCAACCATTCATCCGGGATGGAGTGGAAGTGGCATTTCCCCTGCTGGGACAGGACCTTACAGGTAGGATTCCTCATGGGAGGGTAGAAGCCACCCAGGCCCAAAGGGAGCCACCTCTCCAGGATCCTACTCAGAAGCCTCAGTGTATGCTCTGTGCTGTCTCAGAGAGGGCCCCAGAGAGGAGGCAGGTTGCCGTGGTGTTTATTGCCATGCCGCCTGCTCAGCCTGGAGTCCCGCAGTCCTGTCCCCAGGTGGCCAGAGGCTGCCACTGGAATGGAAGGTGGAAAGGAAACCCTAAACCACAGGGAACTGCACTAATAGCCTCTCATCACTTCAAATCCCGAGTAAACCCAGCCCCTCGTCACTTCATTTCCCCATCTTGCCCATACCATACAAACCCTGCTTCATCCACCCCTTTGACCTGTCCCTCACATGCCCAACGTTTCCTGAGGCCTACAATGGGGGACCAGAGGATACAGCAGGGTCCAGGGAACAGGAGACTGAAAGATGCTAAAACAGTCAAACAGTTCTGGGCTCAAATCCCAGCTCTGTCACCCTCCAGTTGCATGCCTTGGGCAAGTCACACCACTTCACCGAGCATTAGCGTCCTCTTCTGTAAGTGGGGCTCTAATAGAATGCACCTCATATGGTTACTGTGAGAATAACAAAAGAAATGCATGTATGGAGCTTGGGTACATCACACAATAAAAACACAAAAATGGGAATGGTCCATATTTTGGAAGTAGATAATTGCAACATAATGTGGGCTTCAAAACAGAAACACATTCAAGGAATAATAGTGGCCTTGGGAGGGTCAGGGAAACCTTCTCCAAACAAGAAATTTGCACTGGGTCCCGAAGGCTTCCCATGAGTTCACCAGGCAGAGAAAGCAAGTGGGAGGGAAGAAGCCTGGGCAAAGGTGGTGAGTAACCCAACAGCAAGGCTCCGCAGGAATCTGGGGGCCTTGGTGAGGGCAGAGGCTGCAGAAGGAGGTGGGACCAGGCCACACGGAGCCACTTAAGCAGGATCTTATTCTGAGGACAACAGGGAGCCAAGGAAGAAATTTTTAAGAGGGAGAGGAACAATCGGATTTGCATTTAAGAAAGCCCCTGGGCAGGGACTATGTGGAGTACAACCGGGAAGGGACAAAACTACAGGGAGGGCCAGTTAGTTAGGAGGTTACTAGAAACTCCCAGGGGAGAAATTAGGAGGGCCTGAGTCAGGGCAGTGGCAGGAGAACTGAAGAAGAGAGCCTGGATCCTGCTCAAAATCAGGAGGCCCCTGATTAAGTAAAAATTAGGGCAAAAGTCTTGATCCTGGTGTTCAAGCCTTTCCATCTGCACCCTCTCCAACTCCTCTCTGCTGACCCCTTAGGAGAGCCCTGCTAGTCACTCCCACCTCCACGCCTCTGCAGGGCTGTTTGCCCAGCGTTCCCTGTCCCATCCTCATGCACATGTCACACTCTCTGTGAATGGCACTGTGACTTTCCTCCAGGGACTTTTCCCATCATTTACTGTCTTGACCACTTAGCATGCTGTGCCTTGGGCTGAAACTCAGGGAATACCACCCCCTGGGGAATTTCATAAAAACAAACACAATCAGCACGCAATTGTAGTGACACAAAGGTTTAAACAGGCACATTTGATAGACCAAGGAGTTAGATTACATGGTCTCTAAGGTATGTCTGGATCTAACATTCTCTTATTCCAGGGCTGTCTATGAAATAATGGGCTTCCAATTGATGCTTTCTCTCTCTTCGATTACTGGGACTCCTGAGTCTCAGTTTCCGTCTCTGTAAAATTAGGAAGCTGTGCTCTTCAGAAACACTATAGCATTTTATTCAATCAGCAAGTCATGGGGCAGAAACCAGGTGCTCAGGTTAATCTAATATAATAGCTAAGAAAAAGTCCCTGTACCTATATATAAATTATCCATTTTCAAAAAACTAGCCATCAATAAAAAAAGAAAGCTATCCTAAAATCCAAGGAAACAGAACAATTTGTCTGATGACTCAAGCCACTGACAGCTGTGGAAAACAGGGTATTGCAACCAACAGAACAGAACTTGGGAGCTGCCCTCTCTCTGCCAAGGCAACACTAGAAGGCAGAACATTCCGCCCATCACACAGCAGAGTGCCTGGTGCTCCTTGAATGCTATTGCAGAGACATGTGGGAATGGAAGACCCGTGTGGGAGAGTTCCAGCAGCCACGCTCTAGATCTCAGAGCATTAGTGCCACCAGGGCTATCGCGGCTGAGGAGTTCGGTGCACCCTCCACTGACTTCTCGGCCTCATCCGCCACTACGCCCTCTGCTCCTCCACACTGTCAGCAAAATTCAAGAGCTTCCCTCCTAGACTTGGGAAGGGAGGCAGCGGTGGCATTTCTCCAGTTCACATCCTGTTTCCCACACAAGCCACCCTCAGAGCTGGAACCACTGATGAAGAGCCACTGGATTCCTTCTTCTCACTGTGACAATCCCAACACAGCAGCAGGGCAGACCCACAACTTGGCCAAATACTGCTGGGGTTCCCAAGGCAACCAGGATGGGATTGAGGACTGAGGCTGCTGCTCTACAGAAAGTCTCCAG